ATATATTTTCGTGAGGCAGGCACTTGACGAACGCAGAAAAGGACGAGTTTAAAAATTGTAAACTACAGAACAGATCTATCCTCGAGTCCTGCAATTATAAAGTTTAATAAAATTCTGCAATTTATACTGTTTGTTATTGAGTAATAATTGTTATAGCTATAGTTTTTTTGTATTTTTTTTTGTCGTTTAGGTCTTTGTTTTTCTTTTAAGTAAAGAAAAATATTTTTGCAATAGACGGTGACACTCACTTTGGAGTTTGGACTGAAGCTAAAAGCGTCGGAATCTCTTTATATTTAATGTTTCTAGCTCTATAATTTCTGTTTTTGTACAATTAAAATGGTCTATTTTAAGGGTCAATTGGTGGTATAACCAAACAACAAAAAATTATCTAATATTCTAACTAAAAACCCTAACTTTAGAGATTAAGATTTGGCCACATAGGTGCATTTTTGTTAGATTATTAGATATAGTTTTTTTTTTATGGTCATCCATGCTAATTTCCCCTATCTATTATTTAAGCAAATACGATGCAACTTAAAAAGTTGCAAAAGAGTTGTAACTGTGCAAAAAAATTTGTTTATACCTGATAGTAATATAATTTTCTTTTTCGTCTTGGTTAGAAATCAAGTTTGAAAGTTATTTGATATAACCAAATACTTGAGTGTAATCAAGCTTAAAAGTTTAAATGCATTTCTTCGAAACATGAAATTACACCTAACTTTTGCCAGTTAGCATAACAAGAAAAGGAACAACTTTAGCCATGTGCAAATATGTGTAACCAATCATCCACGCATATGTATACAGTATACATATATTTACAGTTATCTTGAACCCTCAAGAAGATCTTGATTAATGTCAACAACAACAACAAAAAAAAGAGATCTTGATTAGTACTATAACTAATACATGATTTTCGTATTTTTTGTTGGCAAATAATTATTTTGAATCGCATTTTTGAAAATACCGACATAAATTGATATGATTAACTAAATCATTTTATAAGGCAAATAGTTGGTGAGTTCTTTTCAAGCGTCCCTCGAACAAATAATTAATGAAAACAATATTTTAAGAGTTATATTTGATTCCAAAAGTAGTACTCTCCCATTCCATCAAGA